GTCACTGTGGTTGTGTTGTGGTTGTTGTAGACCCAATCTCAAATCCTACTTGCAGTTGATCTCTACCCTGGGTGCCGCAGACTTAATTCTCGATTCTCGGGGATGGAGCTACGTCATAAGACGTTCTCCGTTGATAGGACATGCACCATTGTACCATGTATTTCTTTGCACAAGATGCTGTTGAACACTGGTCAAAGAGCCAGTGAAAATAGCTAAATTCGGTAAAACAGTACAAACTCAACTTCAAAGTAATCCTGAACAACAAAATTTATGTATGTTGCACACACAAGGCTAATCTTGTAACACTGTTCAGGGGAGTCTCAACAACAATCCAAAAGTAAAGTTTTCTTCGAAAAGGCCTTTGTTTTCACCGTGATGGTTGCCAGGCGATGAAAATGCCTGAATGTCCACCCCTAAGAATAGGAAGGTAAAATTTATTTAAAGAATCACTCCATCATGGGTGCGACTTTAGAGAAATATGGGTTGAAGTGGTGGCCTGTTAATAAGATTAATTTTCAGTTTATTTTCCTACTAGATTAAAAAACATTGGAAACCAAAGCCAGATGAGTTGAATAACTCTTTGAACACCATAATATTAGTGCTACATTTTGCACAATTATTTGTATATTTTTAGAATTTCTTTGTTTCCTGACCAAAATAGCCATAATTTTATGCTGCTTACATGTGATTAACATTTCTGAAAAAAAAATTAGCAAATACCAGAGTGAATAGTGACAAAAATTAACTTTGGCGCACAAAGGTAGGAAGATGGCCGCACAGCCCTGTCATGTAGTCCCAAATATGAATATGACTTCTGTGGCAAAAATGCACCATGTGTCAGCACATACAAAAAAAAGTCAGGAGAGACAATAGTGACATTCAATGTCCGGAACTGACACCTGGCACAAAAAACAAAAAAAACACGTTGGCGCTCAAAGGGATAATCAACAAGAACAATGATATCCCATGATTCCATGGCGTAGTCTCGGGGATTAAGAAGCTGCACTTTACAGTCTGCTTTTGATTGCTACATTAAATGTCAATTTTTGACTCATGTGTGAGTTTTTTCAATTACTCTGTCTGCCCGTATGTAAGCACAAAACTATGTGTATATGTGTGCATATACGTTTCACTGCTGTCTCATTAACAAATCATTGGATTCTAGTGAAATGTGATACTG